ATAAGAAAATAATTAGTAATATCATTCATTAATAGAATGACAAGTTAACTAGTAAGCATAAAATATAAAATTTTCTAAGTCCTATCATTTTCTCTTTTTTCTCCCTTTTTTGGAGTAATGGAAAAATAAGAGTTTTATGGAAAAGAGGGGATGCTCATTATTCTCCATTTTCTCTACTTTTATTATTATTTATCTAAATAAGTAAAAGGTGGATGAACGTCCCATCCTTTCCTTTCCTTCCATTGCCCTTAATTCAAGCATACTGTTAACTAAGTGATGTTTTGGCAGTACATTTAGTTTGCTGAGACCCATTATGCTTAGAAATTATCTACTTGTCTGCTGAAAATCCTGCAGTATACTGTTTTTTGGGAAATTAGACCAACTAAAGTCTACTAAGTATTCATTTTATTTTCTCAAGGTTTTATCTTAAGGATTTGAAACAGGCAATGTTTTGGTCCAGGGATCCACATTATGATATTAGTCAGCTGAAAAACTATAGTTGTTCACGTTATCTATGCTTTTTGTTTGCAGAGACAAAGGCTTGGGAAGTGGATACCTTGAGAGGTCATATGAACAATGTGTCATGCGTTATGTTCCATGCCAAGCAGGACATAATTGTATCAAACTCAGAGGACAAGAGTATTCGTGTCTGGGATGTAACAAAGAGAACTGGGATTCAAACTTTCCGTCGAGAGCATGATCGCTTTTGGATCCTTGCTACTCATCCTGAGATGAATCTTTTGGCGGCAGGTCATGACAGCGGCATGATTGTCTTTAAACTGGAGAGAGAACGACCTGCCTTTTCTGTAAGTGGTGATTCAATGTTTTATGCTAAAGATCGCTTTTTGCGATATTATGAATTTTCAACCCAAAGGGACGCACAAGTTATTCCAATTCGACGACCAGGTTCAACAACTCTGAATCAGAGTCCTAAGACTCTTTCGTATAGTCCCACTGAAAATGCCGTTCTTATCTGTTCTGATGTGGACGGTGGATCTTATGAGTTGTATGTCATACCCAAAGAGAGTGTTGGTAGGGGTGACCAAGTACAAGAGGCAAAGAGGGGTAGTGGGGGTTCTGCTATTTTTGTGGCTCGAAATAGGTTTGCTGTGCTCGACAAAAGTACCAACCAAGTCTTAGTTAAGAATCTCAAAAATGAAGTGATTAAAAAGAGTGGCCTTCCCATTCCCACAGATGCAATATTCTATGCTGGTACAGGTAATTTGCTATGCAGGGCAGAGGATCGGGTGGTTATATTTGATCTCCAGCAGAGACTTGTTCTTGGGGATCTTCAAACTCCTTTTGTCAAATATGTGGTTTGGTCAAATGACATGGAGAGTGTTGCACTGCTTAGTAAACATGCCATCATCATTGCTAGCAAGAAGCTTGTGCACCAGTGCACTCTTCATGAGACAATCCGTATAAAAAGTGGAGCCTGGGATGACAATGGTGTCCTCATTTACACAACTTTGAATCATATCAATATTGCCTTCCTAATGGAGATAGT